GACCCTAATCCACATAAGCAGTGACCTTTTCAAAGAATGTCAAAAGTGAAACCATGTTGACTATCCAATAAAATTCTAAACTTTGTTAAATGACTTTGCAAAGTATCTTTTAACAGATTTTCCAAAATGTTTCCCACAACTGATGTAAGACTAATGGGTCTATAATTACTGGGACAATTTTTATAGCCTCCTTTGAAAAGAGGAGTTACATTAGCTAACTTCCAATCCTCTGGTACCTGCCCACTATTCAAGGACTGACATAAAATAGTAGTAAGTGGCTCACATATCCAATCTTGAACCTCCTTGAAAATCCTTGGGAACTATTATTTTGCCTAGGAGACTTATCATTTTTTAAACTTCCCAAGTTTTCTTAACCAGCTCAGAATTAATGCAATCATCTTGTTTGATCTCTTTTCTATTTATCAACTGATCAAGATGTGGAATACTGCTTCAATCTTCATTAGTAAAAACCGAAGAAAAAGTAAAATTTAATAACCCAGCCATCTCATAATCATCAGATCATTCTTTTATCATCCCTCAACGGTCCTATCCCGATCCTAACACTTTGTTCCCCTTAATGTATTTAAAGAAATCTTTACTGTTAATTTATACATTTTCAGCCAACATTTTCTCGTACATCCTTTTTGATGTCTGAGTTTCCTGTTTCACCAACTTTCTTGATCTTCTATAATCTTCTAAGTCTCCTGTCATACCAGTCAATTTAAATTTCTTAAACTTATGCTGCTTTTCTTTAATTTTATTTCTTAAACTCTTTGTGAGCCAACCTGAGCTACCCATTTCTTTCTACTAGGAATATGTTTACATTGAATATTTAAAAATTTATCCACATCTGCTCAGTGTCTCCATATAACTCAGCTGGCCAATTCACAACAGATAACTCTTGTCGCATCCCTTCAAAGTTTGTAACCAAAATATCATTATTCCTTATCTCCATATGCAGCAAAACATTGAACCTATCAGAGCAATGATCACTTGCACCCAGATGTTCCCCAGTTTCCAACCTCTCAATCATTTCTGTATTTGAAGTTAACAGTAAGTCTAAAATAGCATTGACTCTAGTCGGTTCCTTAACTAACTGAACAGTTTCCAAAAACCTTTCTCCCTCATGATTTGATTCTAGAATTTTCCAATCTATATGCCTGAAATTAAAATCACCCATAATTATGACTTCATTAACAGCTTAAATCTTATTCTCATTGTAAAGTTTCTCACTAATTTTTTCAGTATCATTTGGTGGTCTATAACAAATTCCCACTAAAAGCCTTTTCCCTTT